GCAACATTGTCTGCACAGCCACCAGAATCCTTGCATTCGTCGATGTCTTGAAAAAACGAGGTAAAAGAAAAAAAAAAGGGGAATGCAAAACACTATGGATAGTTTGAACAGTTAGTAAGTCGACTCTTCCCCCCAATCCACCCCCTGAAGGTGCACGGGGAAACTTTCTCGCTCGGGCGCCGCTTAAGGGAAAGAAACGAGAGGATGACTGACAAACAAACTACTGCTTTTAATAGTTTCTAGTTCCTCAGATTTTTTCATAATTGCAATTTCGAGATTATTCTTTCAATTTCATCCTATAGTCAGCTGGACTTACCAACACATTTCCCATCGGGTGCTTTCTTAAAACCTTTTCTGCAGTTCACTGAAAAATATAGAAAAACACCGGTGCTTCATATCAGCAAAATTTGCGGCTCGCTTTCAGCTTTCAGCGTCGCAACCATAACAGTTACTATCACTATTCATTCTCAATGTCACAATCATGATTATTATTCATACCAACGGATGAACAAAGGGATCATGAGGAGATGAAGTTACATAATGATTTAGGAAAGGAGGGTCTCGGATAGTACCCAACCTCTCAGAAAGTAAAGCTGTTGTGTTCTGGGAAAATACACTTTATTTTCCCTATGTGATTCTCTGAATTTCCATCGAAGATTTTCTTAGGATATAGCTCTCTATAGCATATTGGTTGAGCATCAGAGAGTATATTAGGCTGATCGCTCTGACGAAGGGCTAACGCTCGAAACGTCAGTTTTTTTACCCTTTACGGTGGCCAATTTACGTTTTCAACTCAGTTGTTAACACTAAATTACCTGCTCTACTCTCCCACCGACGCAGCACCACAGTGCCTTTAGAAACTTACCCCCTCTAATAATACACCTAGTCGTTAGAGAAATCTAGACTCCTGGCATGGACTTCCGCGTAAGCGATTGTAGGACTAAGCCCTCTAGATGAAGATTCCCTGTTGATAATTTGATCACTTATAACATAGTTATGAATCATAATACTCACAAGAGATGGTATTCCATTGGTATTTTACTTCTTTGTTGTAAGAAAATTGGTAACGTTTCCGAGACGTAATAACATAAATCTGCAGAAACAGAAATTGAAAGTACATTGTAACGGGAGTATCAACACCTCTTTATGTGCGGATCAGGGACCTGTTTCCATCTCTACGAATAAAACTGAAACTGAAACTGAAAAATAAATAAAAGATATGGATGTAGTCACAAGTGAAACCAGGCATATTCTTAGCGAGCAAGCGCAGAGTATTTCTTTCGGAAATTGTCTGGTGGCCATTTTAGATCTATCGGCAGAGGAAGGCCGGAGAGAGAGAGGGAGAGACATGTCTACCAGGGATAGGAGGGAGGTAGAATACACTACATACTCTCCTCTCTACACTTAAAGAAATCATTGTTCTTTTAGTTTAGGGAGAAAAGAGGGCTGATGAAGTTTACAGCGGGATGTAACTTGGTTTTAATTTCTCTCACCTGGCTTAGCCACCAATAGTCTTGATAAACTCCGGTTTGTACCAGTTGTATTTTGATGGCGGAAAGTTTTCCTACATCTCGATCTGTTATCGTAAATCGCATTACGCTGTTGAATAGGGATCAAACAAGTTTGTAACTGGCATAATACAACAGTATTAGAACGTGAACATTTAACAACAGATCTCCCAAATTTTCCGATGGAATTTATTCCTTCCTCTCAACGTATTTTGGCTGGCTCTAGTAACTGTTTTCCGAATCCTCTTTCCTTTACGGTAGAGTGGACAAAACTCTTCCTTCTTCTTTGTATATAAACATAATAGATACCGCTGTAATGTTAAAACATTACATTGAATTTTGCGCGAGGATTGGCCCTATGAATTTTTCTTATCAGTAGCTGAAAAAATTCTCATTTTTGAGCTTCCAAGGTTGCTGGATTAAGTTTTGCCATTCAGCAATTTTGCCGTATTTTGATGGACATCCATGTAAACTTTACTTCCAATCCCAAGATCGTTCCCAAAAACTGTTTCTTTCTAACATGCGTTTAACTGAACAGTGCGACGATACTAATAAGCCCGAAAAAAGTGGTCAATGATGACATTATGAATTTCCCCATAGAAAGGCTGTCCGAATCTTCTCATCACCACGTACGCGTGTGTCGTACGTTCATTTAACATGTTGCCACACTTGCCTGTAACGGTCAAACGGTCCTGACAGATGGTGAACCGATGTCTGAGCACCTCCGACACCCACCAAAATGATTGAAACCTTGTCATCGTCAATCCCAGAGAAACCCGTGGACACAAAAAGTTGATACACTGACAAAAAAAAAAATAAAAAAAAGAAAAGAAAAAGGCAAAAATAAACATTTTATCGTTCTAAACTTCTCGATCAGGGAAAAATTTCGCGCTTAAAAAGAAACTTACCTAGAAAGCATATTAAGGATTCAAATAGTGACAAATCATCCTAGATTTTTTGCCTCCGTGGTCTCAAACTTTGGCAGATCGCTTTCTTTGAAACTTTTTTCATTTAAAACTGACTTTGTTAAAAACAGGTATTTTAGTGTTAACAACTGAGTTGAAAACGTAAATTGGCCACCGTAAAGGGTTAAAAAAGCTGACGTTTCGAGCGTTAGCCCTTCGTCAGCCTTTTTACCCTTTACGGTGGCCAATTTACGTTTTCAACTCAGTTGTTAACACTAAATTACCTGCTCTACTCTCCCACCGACGCAGCACCACTTTATTCACTTATTAAAAACAGTTCATTCTACTTAATGGGAGAGCTATTTCTTTAGGAAATGTGAAATAATCGGAATATCTCCTATAAAATAATCACGACACCCTTTAATTCGAGTTGGTTATTTCAATAGTAATGAATCAAAAACTTCCCATAATAGCTCGTCTAGCTCTATGTTTTTCCTTCCTATCAAAAACTGATCATCGTCTGTTTCCGAACATTAAAGGTTTAAAAGAAATCTGAAGGTCACAAAGCTCCATCGATTGAGTGCGGATGATTTTTCTTCACAGTTTTAAAGCGTCTTGAAATGTCTCAACATTTTATTGAATACAACTGTAGCCGGTGCAATTAAGGGCCTGTCTAAACAGAGCGAGACTATAACCCGTGGTGACCAGCATGTACTGCGAATGGAATTTGCATGTAATTTGTAGGATCTGTTAATGCCAAAGTAAACCACACTCGCGGTTGAAAATTGGCCTAAGCGGATAGTCGTAGAGATTGCCTATAAAAATTATATTTGTGCAATTTTATTTTTATTTATTTATTTTTTGAAAACTCGTTAAATACATTTGATAAACCATAAAAACAACATCAATAAAAGCAAACACAGGAACGCTTTCCGAAGAGCAGTTAATTATAATCCCACTTCTTTCGATCTTAAATTACAAGGTGATCATTCTTGATCATAATAATTCATTTATAACTCTTAATGATTGCTTAGTTGTTTTACACTGATGTTGAGAATTTCAAATGGTTCCTGGAAATACCAAAAGTTTTATGACTCGAAAAATCGCCAACTCGACAAATTTACGTTCGAATAATATTTCTAAAGCGTGCTAAAGTTAGAAACGTTCAAATGTTTCTTTGCTTGAAAGCACGTTTGCCCTTTCCTTGTAATTTCCTCGTCAAAATTCGACAAGTGGCTTATTTTCTTACAAGGTTTTTTCAGAGAGCTCTCTTTAATCGAGTTTAAAACCAATCACTCTTTTCAAGGAGGATAAGCGAAGTTTGATTTATTCAGGATCTCGATGCTTCAGATTTGGAAATGTCTCACATAAGATGTTATCGTTGATTCAGCGTCTGAACATAAAAAATTCATAGTCTTGTAAACGGAAAACTTGAGCCTTTAAGTTAACTACAGTTACATTATTGAGTAACTAGCCTGTCTTATCGATATAAGGTTTGTTCAGATAAAAACCACTTCAAAAATATCAACTAGACTGCTGAGGCTTACCATAACTTTTGGCGACTGGTACTTGGATAAAGCCAAGAATCGCGAAGAGTATCAAACGAACCATTGCAAAGTGAGTGGTGCCTGGTTGGACAACTCTCTTCACGGCAGAATTAGCAACTTATAGAGGGATTAAACGATGCTTTGCTTTTTGATAGGCAGCCAAATCTAAACATGCAAATTATGTCCAATTGTGCGACGAAAGTATAACCAACCAATGAGCGGCTCTTCACGATAACCCTTTCCCGAGGGGGGAAAAAGCAGTTTTTTGCGAACAAAAGATTATTTCCTTCTTTGTTTGACATGCAATTTTTAGAAATTTTTTGGGAGCGAATTTTTTTTTCTCGCGTCTTCTAATGAGTTGCTTGGCTAAAGTGAAAATTACGTTTGAGGGACGGAGCGAGGTAGGTAAAACACTACACGCCTTTGCAAATACTTAATTATGAGTTAACGGGAACAAATTCAAAACTGCAGAGCTTTTATTCTCAAATAGAATGAAAAAATAAGCAATGCGTTGGAGCAATTATGAAAAGAAATTATATTTTCCCAGTTCAATCATGGACAGAAATGACGGAGGGCGTGATGTGCAAAAACGTGTTAGATTCAGCGGCTTAGCATCCGACGGAAAACCTCATTTCGACTCATTACTTTTTTGTATCGAACTAATGAGGGGCTACATTTAGCCAGCTGTGTCTGTTGTTGTTTACTCAACATTTAATCATTATGCACAATTTGAGTAATTAACAGGACTGTTTGGCTACTGTCTATCACAAAATTGCTAGTAATTTACTGGGATTCTAAAAAAGAAACATTTAACACCAAACTGTCCGATCTAAGTGTGAGAGCCTTTTCAGTGCCAACACTATTGCGACCGTCTTAGTGTGAACGATAACTAGAGTTGAGTAAAAGGTCTAGCGCTCTGCAGCACTAAAATGATTTGAGATGGGAGAGTGTTTTTCCAGGTGTCAGTAAGTTTTTGCACTAATGTATGTAAACGTAGATTAATCTTCAAAAACTTTTATATTACAAATAACTTTTTTTCTTTGTGTGATTTCTTAGTTAATTTCTTACAAATATCATAATTAAAGTGTGTTATATTTAGCTTTATTTAGGTACTATTTATGTAGTCTCATATCCAGACCTTCCACGGCCAAGCGGTGGGAACATTTCTGTAACAGTTAAACGGTAGGATCTGGTTATGAGATTACTATGTGGGTACAATGGCTTAATGAAATCATCATAGATCACAAAAAGTGAAAGTAAATTTATAGATATTTATTCATGAAAATGTCCGAGCGGAGTATAACCACCCAGGCTCAATAACAGCCGCTATCCGGGAAATGAGCCCACATTCCTGCCATAAGGACCGGATTCGATATATGACGGCCAAGTACGAGTCTTATCGCGATCGTCATGTTTAAATTATCTTTTTGCAGCCTTTCCCCTTCCGTTACAATTTGGCTCTTTTTTATCAGAATTCTCCACCAGGCTTTACTAAGCTGGGCAAAAATTCTTCCTAGCTGGCTCTTTAAGCTAGTCTCCAGGTCTATTACCAAGTATCTTTCGCTCTCGGTCGTAAATAGAGGCCAGGTTATGTTGCTGGCGGTCAGCGGAGGTAAGTGGGGATCTCGTCTGTTGGGGTCTCTGTTGGAAACAAAATTAAAAAAAACGTTTTCACTCTAATAACAAAGCTTTAGATTTTAAAGCTTTGAAATAAAAGCAGCATGTAGATTAGGAGATCTACATATTAATCTACATCTACGTGGAGATCTGCGATTATTACAGTCGACGGGCACTTTCTTCCGGAAGAACCCTCATTACTGCTCGACGAAGGTAGATTCCAAAAAGTTAAGGCGATCGTTGGTGTCAACAAAAACTGCGGTTCTGTGGCGCTGTGGAGATTGCATTTCAAAGCAGCTGGTCAACAAATTGACCACCCACTGATCCAGCGGGCTGTAGATGAATCCATCTTTTTCCAAAATGGTGAGAATGAGAGACTAAGGAGGGCTATCCTCTCCAAGTATACAAACCACGCCGACCCAGACTCCCCGCAGAACATTGAAGTAAACTGGCAACGACTTCTTGGCGATTCCTGTTCGTTGCACCCGCGATCAAAGTTGCCAAGTCTCTGGCTAACGCAGGGATGTCCATCATTTTTCCACTGTTTCACTCACCGTGCAATGCGTTGCAAAATGAAGAATCCTACGGAGTTTGTCAGGGTAACGAGATCCCCTATCCATTTGGAAAACCTTTTTTGAAAATGCCGACACTCTATTTCTGGTTAGCAAGTACTTGCCAGAAATGGAGCGAAGATTGAGCATGTCCTTAATTTAAGCCTAGGCAAAATTTGAAAACTTTGGGTAAATAATCAATGAGACACTATTGAAATTTGTTTGCCATGCGGAACAGAGAGATTTCCTCTGATAACATACGTGTGATGCTACCATTAGGCAAACTCCAACGCAGAGACAATTCTACTTTAGTGTCTAAAGAAGTCCGTGATTGCATTAGTTTTGCTTTGCATTGCTCTTTGATTGGTTCAGAAATAATGTGCTTCCCTTTCAACCAATCAAATGTGTAACTGAATCCGATCGCAATTTAATCACTTGCGTTTTCCCCGCGGAAATCTGTCCTCAAAAAGGTCTTTTGTGTCTCTTTTTTTTCATTTCATTTTCTTCTTTTCCTTTTCCCTTCTCCTTTTTTTTTTTCTCGGTACATCGAGAAGAATGATTAAAACCAATGCTTCTCTTGTCTCATAGACACACAGATGATCAGTTTCCCACGGTTTGATTTAACTTTGTCACGTACCATCAATATTTATAACAAAGGGTTTCAAGAACATGTCATTTTCAAGCCGTTAGGATAAGGTCAAAAATTTGCGATTATTAATTGCTGCTCGTGGCTGCCACGCAGCCTCAATTAGATAGAGACAATTAGTTTAATGCCTTTTATAGTTTACTTAAGTCATCAAGTGCCGTAGAATTGGATGAGTTTTAATCAACTCATTAACATTGATTTCCTACCTGGTAGGTTCCAAAACAAAATTATCATTTAGATTGATAAGACCCTGCGTCAAAGATCGCTTCTAGAAGTTAGAACGTGACAGAGAGAAATGATTAACAAAGATCTCACGACGTAGCAACAAACAGCTGAGGAAACACTTAGATATTACCAAGTTCCAGAACGAAAAGAAAATACTGGATATGTGATTTCAGATTAAACCGAAAAGATTTGAGTTGAGCTTCAACGCGGCTAAAGAGTCAATGATGAACTTGACAACTTCATCAAATGGTAGCAAAGAGTCAGTTCAGGGTGTACTTCTTCTTGGCTTTATAATCATTGACTTCGTATTTGCAGCGATCATCATGATGGCAAACAGCTTTCTCTTTATCACGATTTACCGCGATCCCTGTCGATGTTTACGCACGCCCAACGTTTTTCTTATTGCAAATCTCTCCGTTGCCGATTTTTTTATGGGATTTGTCAGCTTTCTGAGAGGTATCGAACTTACCTATGACCACCATGGCTGGGGAGAGCTTTTAATCGTCAACATCACTCAATATTTCATTGGAGCTGTGTCGATTCTCGCCGCAGTGTCGACGCTTTTGGCGATGTCTTACGATCGGTATGTTGCAGTGATTAAGCCGTTTGAATATCCACTGAAAGTGACGAACACAAAAGCGAAGATCTTCATCTTTGCGATTTGGACAAGTGCGCTAGTTTTCTCCGTACTTCCAGTTTCGGATGTAAGGAGAGAAAAGTTTTTGCTTGCCTATTGTTACTCTCATTTCGTGATCCCATCTTTCCTCTTAACAACAATCTATGTGAAAATATACAAGGCGATTTCCCTACAAAGAGAAGAACTTAAAAATGTGCGCGCTAGTCTAACAGCTGCAGGTAGAAGGCAGCAGTTAGAGAGAGAGAACAGAATGGTCATGGCATTTATAGCGATCCTTTTGATATTTTATTTGTCATTTTTGCCCTACTTTATCAACATACAGATTCTATATTTTTGCTCTTGCCGCACCTCTTACGCATACAGAGTTTATCATTATGTGGCAAACGAATTTCTCTCCGTCAGCTCCATAGTGGATCCCTTCATGTATGCTTGGAGAATTCCGAAGTTCAACCGCTCGCTTCGAATGTGTTTTCGTCGCCGAAATGTCATCAGTGTGTTGCACACAACCAGCACTTTAAACCAAGGCAAAGCATCAACTCATTGACTTAATCGAATTTTTCGAACTGATTTTTATTAAAATTCTTACACCCATCTCTTCCGAGGAAATCCAATCAGGAACCTTAAGACAGCTAAAATTGCTAGTACAAAGAGCCTTCAAGTTTTAGGTCTATTTTCTTTTTTAATTCACACGCGAACGCAAAGAGGATTTTTCAACAAGTAAACAAATCAAACGGGAACTGTGAAAGAACTTTGGGGAAATCGAGACTGCGAAATTAGCGAATTTGTTATTAAAATTCTGTCATCCTCGGTATCTGGTTTTTATTTTTACCTTTTGCATTTCGGTTTTTTGTTTACAAATTTTGGCGATGTAAATTTTGGAAAATTTAGTCTTCAACCTTTGAATTCGAAAAAAAGAAATGAAACAGCAAACACTTCACTGACAGAGCCCAGACCTATAAAGAATGATCTATAATATAGCTCAGGGTGAGGTTAAATTACCGATGAAGCAATCTACCACGCCATATATTAAATTTTTCGTTTTGACTGAGATAAGAAAACCATTAGCTACAGAACGGAAGCGGCAGATTTTGCTATCTTTTCTTTAATCAGACTCAATTACCATCGTTTTTATAAAAGGTGGTCTTTATTAACTTAGCCACATCACGCTAAAATCTCTTTCTACTCAACTCGTATGGTAACATCACGCTAAAAATCTCTTTCTACTCGACTCGCATGGTAACAGCAAAACATAAAATTGAAAAAAAAATGTTTGACGTCCGGTAAGTTAAGATACTTCCGCGTTTTCATAAATTTTTTAAGTGATTAGCAATGTGGTTCGATTTTTTTGCCATATTTGGAGAGACAATTTGTGCGCGTTTATAAATAAACTTAATTTCTAGGTGAAGTATAAATTTAAAAATGATCTCGCTTGAGACATCCGTAACATGATGTCAGGAGTGTCATTTGGACTTAGTCATACATTTCCGTCACCTACTTAATTTTTTATTCCATATTTGATATGAAAAGTTATACGAATACTAAATTAAAGTGTGAATTAAACAAACTGCGTTAGTGGGGTCAACAATTATGTCGCCTGAGGCCCGTTTCTTGAATGTCCCGATGCCATATTTTTAAATCAAAATTTTTCCAATAGAGAAGCACGTTCTGGGCGCCCTAACCAGTCCATTATGTTTCTTAGCCGATAATTCATTGTATAGTTTTCAAAACGTTTGAACCTTACAGCTTGAATGAAAACAGGACAGCTTTAGGGGCGCGTTCAGTTAACTGAAACTTCCAGAAACGGGCCTCCAGGCCCTGTCGGGAAAAGAGGCAAGATCGAGATTAACGGAGGTACAATTGACGAGAATTTTCCTTTCTCCTCTGATTCCGCATTAATGTTCTTCAGGGTTATTTAGTTTTATTAAGAGTTAATGGTAAATTGGGACCCAAGAGATCCATAAAGATTACTGATCATTTCTCTTGTACCTCCGCCAATGTCATCTAATGCATAACTTGCACTTATGGCAAAAAGTTATACATTGGTAAAAAAGGAAGACGACTAGGTGACCGATTCCGAGAACACCATTGTGACGTAGAAAGAAATATCAAGGACGCATTCAAACCGGTCATTAGACGCTTGAATCTCCCTAATCATTCTCAGCAGCACATATGGCAGTTTGCGGCCTTTCCCTACGTCTAGGTTGCTCGGAAAGCCGCAAAACTCAAGAACAAAAATTTATCTTTCAAATCGGCACTCTTAATCCCCACGGCATGAACGAGCGCTTTCCTCTCCACAAATTTATTCTTGTTTTCTCGTCATCATATTTCCGCCAATAGCATGGCTCCATTTTCTAAATATAAACCCACCCACAATCCAGAATTTCTCCAATCGCTCTGACGAAGGGCTAACGCTCGAAACGCTATCAGCTCAGTTGATAATACTAAATCACCCCGTTGTACTCTCCCACCGATGCAGCACCACAGTTTCTTCACAAACTCACCCCATTTATTAATGCTTTTCAGTTTGGTATTTCTCTACCACTTGCACTTCTTTCAAGATGAATATGGAAGAAGAACAAGAGGCAGGTAAAAACCAAACAAAGTCAACAACATCCGGCCTAAAAGGTATTTCAGCTTTGTAAAGGTGTTAAAGTTGGCGTTCAAATCAAATTTATCGAATTATCCATGTACATATCGACTGCGTCCGAAAAAAAGCAAACGCATACTTCAACCTGCAGAACATGCAAGCAAACCCACGTGGAAAGTGGTTTTCATATACATCCGAATATTTGTAGTTTTTGTAACGACGTTGCAGAGTCACTTTTATAATCATATAAAAGTGAACTCTTCAAGGTCTTCTAGGATGGTAACTTCTTGATAGATAAGCCAAAATGTTTGGCATGCATGCTTTCATCGTGGGAATTTGATATCATTCCAAAGCATCAAAGTATTACTGCATGAACCAGGGCAGAAACAAGTAAGAGGGTTGCTAGAGCTGCATCACAATTAATCCATCCTGGAAAAATAATCCTGAAATTAAATTTTCAAGTTTTCATGTTCAATCCGCGTCATATTCTTCTCCGCATGGTCCTTGTTTAAGTTTATTGTTAGATGGTTTAACTTAGTATAGTTTTCCCTTCTTAGGTAAGAATTTATTTAAAAGTTCCTTAAAAAAATTTGCGACATTCTTGAACAACTCCATTATCTTGCTCATGTTATGAGACTAGCGAACCTTTGGCGTTCATCATTTTTTCTTTACTCTTTCTCGTTTTTCTCTCATATTGAAACAAAGAATTAAAGATCCCCCGAAACACACAGTATAAATAGCATTTTTTGAAATGCTATTCCTTCACCGTTCGCAAAAATTTTCTTCCTTAACTTCTACAAAGATTGAACGACCTTGAAAAATGAACACGTTCTCTTTGTGTCTTCGTCAATGGGCCCAAAGATCTTTTTTTTTTAAGTAAATTTGAGAGAAATAAATATGTGATCATTTCTGAAATCCTTTTTGGTTACATTTAGACAAAGCCTTACTCCGAGGGATGAAAAAAAAAAAAAATCGTCTATAAACCTACCTTTCTGAAAGTCCTGACGGCTTCTCGCAAAAGCTTATGGATATCTTTTCGTGTGAGAATTTTAAGTGGTTATTTAAGCAAAGTGTCCACGCGTTGTTATTAATTTAACTATTTAAACTTTCGAGCGAGCGATGACATTTGGGCAATTAACTTTTTTCATGTGAATGGACCACCAGCCACATTGCACAAATAAAACCGAGAGTTAATTAACTAAACCAGTTTGTTTGTGTCATTTAGAGCACAAGTTAAAGAGTCCTACTCATATAACTCAAAACAATCCAATTGCGTGCTGGCGGGGGAAATTACCGAGGTAAAAATTTATGGTTCAACTCAAACAATAGCACGGACGATAATAAAGAAAAATCGAGCGGTAGTGAAATATGAAAAGCTATTAACATTAACTTAAATTTTTTTTTTATGTTTTGAGTCCCCTTTTCCTTCTTTCTTTGAATTTTTTTTTTGTGGAAACAACACACAGGCACCTGCGATAACAAATTGTACAGGACTGCAAAACAGAAAAAAGAATACTCTTCTGCTCTACGATAGCTAAACATATGAATTACTGTTCCGGATGTACTTGATATTCCAATCACAAAGGAATATGATCACCTCTCGATTCAACTGAAGTTTCGCATGAGCCGCAGTAATAGGTCTTCGCACCTTTGATTTGGGTGGAGATTTGTGAAACACTTATCTAATGACATAGCTGAAATGAAGGAGACATTTCTCTTTAAAATTAGTTTCAGCGTAAGCTATTTCAGAATTTGAAGTCTAAAAGCTGCATTAATTAAGCTGTGCGACTGTACCTCAACCAAATTTGGCAATTATCTTAAATATAGTCTGAATCAGAGACCACGCAGATAACACGCGACAAGTTCGATTCCGGTCTAACGCTCCTCTAATTAATATTCACCAACACATCCTTCAATTTTTTGTAGCTTCTTCAACCCAGTAATTGCGATCATATCGCCTTAGTCCCATCGTCTCGTCTGTATGTGTTTCAGAATGCATTTCTCTACAGATTTGCTAGTATTTTCATCGTATACACACCCACGTATATCGCTGCGTTTGAGTTCGAAAAACTATTTTTAATCAACATCATAAACTAAGCCATTCATCATATTTCAACAGGATTTCAAAGACGCTCTGATGGTTGTCCAAGACTTTTATACGTGGAAGGAATCTTGGTGGTCAAACAGCCATAAAACTCTAACTTAAGAACTATAGCGTCGTTCCATGAAAGAGGATAAACCCGCACGAAACGAGTGTAAACCGGTTTGACGAGGATGTTGGTGACCACTGTATAGGGATCTGTGTTACCATAGAAGACCTGAAAGGAAAAATGCAGTTATGAATAATAAGTTCATTAGATAAAAGGCTCCCAGGGACTAGTGATTATTTTTCGCCTGGGTGAGGTTGGGGACTAGATGGATTTTTGAAGGGATCATAAGGGGAGGGGAGGTGGATGATCAGTCGTCGCCAACGAAGTATAAAGGAAGGGACCCGGAGCGAGGGGGGAGGGGAATAGTAGAAAAATTTTCTGTCAGTGAAGGCCTAAAAGGGGATCATAGGAATTCTGCGGATCCTTAGGGAGGATCAGGTGAATTTTATTCCGACCCCCCCTTTCCCCCGCAGTCGACAAATGCTGACGGGTCACTAAGACAGAGGAGGAAAATTTGTACCTTTCTTCTTATCTCAGTAAAGTCTCTCACTGCACTTTGTTATAACAAATCAAACTCAAGGTATCAGGAACTATGATCGGCGATGATGAATAACGACAAGAGCCCATTACTCCTGATAACGATACCTTGTCTCTTGTCCCATTGCCATGGTAGATACGCCAGCTGACCGCATCCAGTGAATATGCTACCTTATATGTCTTCACAAATACTGTAAACCTCTTTCCTTGGGTCGCCAAACCTTTCAGCCATCTTGGCTTCCCAAGATCCACCTGGATCCAAGGTGAAAGATCGTTGGGCAGGGCGTACCAACCTTTCTCGGTCCCAGCTCTCAGCCGTGCGCTCCAAGGAGGATATTGAGGGTAGTACGAACTTGCAGTAATGGAAGCGTTTGTAATTGTACCATTCTCCATTCCAAGTGCCTCCAAACCATCACATCGGCTCGCTAAGTAGGACGAGAATTATAAGAGCTATATTTCCAAGGATTAAAATACGAATTAGGGCTATGGATGGCGCTTTGGCAATTTTGCAAATGGGTTTGTATTCAATGAATAGATAAAGTTTGATTTATGCATAATTCTACATTTAAAAATGTTTTGTGACTGTTATACAGTTGAGATCATTGTCTCTCATCGACGCTACAAGAGGTTATAAACTGTTTACAATCTCTTGACCCTATCAATGTTCTCGAGGGGCATCGTAAGCAACAAATGATTTTCTGCCCCCTCATCCCCTCTTCCCTGGTTGAGAAAAGCATTATTTGTTTTTACAGTACGCGCCTAAGTTCCACAAGGACACAAATTTTTTACCTTTCCTCCCTTCGGGCCCCAACCCTCCCTTAAAAAACCTGCTTGCCAAGGTCCAAGTCATTCTGTAACTCTGCTTTAGTTTTGTTCATTTTTCTGTCGATATATTTTCTAGTATAGTCATCATTTTTAAGAAGGACAAATTTATCCTACGGTACCCTAATCTCAGTCACAATTGTTTAGAGAAAGCTTTGGACATCTTTTTGTTTCATTACCAAGACAATTGATTCCATCTGTTTGTCCGTAGCCTTCTTTACACTGACAGCTGTAGTTTCCTGGTTTATTTACACAGGTGGATGCTGCTAGATTACATTTGTGTAAATTATTGGAGCATTCATCAACATCTGAAACAAGATAACAAAGTTCGTTGTTTCAGCCTTTTTCATATCTCAAAGTTAAGTGCAACCCCATTGTCTTCATGCAATTGTATTCTTTGTCTGTTTTCTTGCTTGTTCTTGTTTTTGTTTGATCTTCCTTTTCGTTGTTATCGTGGTTGTTTATTTCGCCCGTCTATCCGACTCGTCCCAAGTAAGCGCACAACAGACGTGGACAGAATGCAAGCGCAAAGTGTGATGGGTAAGCAGAAAGTTGTTCCTCCTTCCCGTCATTCCCTTCTCTCCCACTTAAGTGTTGCACACATTTCAGCGGCGGCTGGGAACGAGTCAGCTTGTTTATTGTTTTTTTTTTGTTTTTTGTTTTTTGTTTTTTTTTTCAGTTTACAAGTATTTCTACTGACCTTGGCAATTATTTCCCGAGATGTTCTTATACCCAGAATAACACTGGCATATGAAACCTCCTGGAGTGTTGATACATTTGGAGATCTTCATATCACATGAATGGCTTCCAGCTAAACATTCATCTACGTCTAGGAACAATATTGTGATTTCGAATGACGTTATTTTCTAACGAATAAAGCTTAATTTCTACCCTTGCAAATCTTAGGTTTTTTCTTTTGCTGAAGACGGAATTAAAAAACTAGGACTGAATGGAACAAAGGGTATCTTTAAAGAATCCCAAATTAAATCACCCCCCTTCCCTTCCCCCGCCCACATTTAAAAGAGCGGAAAGTGGGCTTCGCCGCCTCGGATCTAAATCTCTTTTAACACGAATGATGGCTGTGTTCTGTTCCGACAGATGGTAATAATAGTTGCCAAACAGCCTACCTTTACAGCTGTACTTTCCATTCAGTTGATAACCTTTTTTGCATTTACAGTAGTACCCACTGATGGTGTTAACACAGAGCTGTTCGCATTTAGAGCGATTACTTCGACACTCATTTTCCTCTAAGGAAAACAAAATAGAGAAATACATCCAGTTTGTACAAACCTGTTCATTATGAAGAATGACGCAGTTTATACGGCATAAGTATATTTTTGGTAAGTAAATCGCAGAGGTAGAATGAACTACTAGAGTATTCATAATATACAGTTCAAACTAGAAAATTAACACAAAAGGTAGAAAGAAATGGCTGACAAAAATGATCATAAAAATTCTGAAACGGAAAAAGAATCGAAGACTTATTTCATAACTTATTGCGTGTTGAAATTGGAGAGGGGAACGTGATGAGATACGTGTGTACGCATGGATCATTCTCCGCTGACCAAAAATCATCTCATGTCTGGAAATAACTTAAATTTTTTTCTTGCTCATTCGATTCCTTATTGTTTTGTTTGCTTTCTCTAAATGGTCTTCGCAATTTCAAAAGAGATGCAGGAAATAATTTTCTTTTTTATTTTGAAGTCATTCTCACCATAAGCTGTTTCCCACTTAAGTTCGTGTATCCACTTGTTGAAGATAAATGTGTAAGGCCTGGAACCATCGACAGTTATTACTACCTACGATTGCATAGGAAAATTGAATAAATGACGGTAAAGACATGATCATAAAACATTTTCTGTCCGTTTATTGCGACATCCTTCCCAATCACACGTCCTCTCTTCTCGATTTTGATGCCAGTTAAGCGAAAGATGTAGTTTTAAAATTAGAAAAAAAAATTGTCGTCTTTCCCTTTCAAAGGGAGCCACCGTATAGGTCTATTTATCCGTGCAGGGCAGTCTTCTCTTACCAATCTCGATGATTTAGACGCGGATGCTACCATGATAAAATCGAGGTTACTACAAGAACAAAAGTTAAGGGAAGACGACATGTTCTCTTGATTGAGAGGTAAAGCCGTGAGAGGTAGCAACCAAAGCCACTATAACCAGTAAAGTTTCTCTATCTCCATCCAGTATTTATTGACGAAAAGTCTAATCTTGTCTACTCGCTACCTTTTGAGCTGATACACTTATGAGTGAGTGCAGGAGCCATCGGAGGCAATTAGAGCACAGGTTTCGTGCATTGCTGATCGGGTTATTCTAAATAAACACTTGAAATAATCATTTTTCAATACCTTATCTAGTTTCCAATGAGGACCGATGAGACCATCCCATCGAGTAATTTTAATGGATGTTATGGGTTTGATCAGCTTAGCATTCCTATAAAATGTGTCTGTTCTGCAAAAATAAATGGAGTTTTGTACCATTAATCCTTTACGACCTAGCGTCAGTCTGCATATTCTCCATATTGTTCTCTAGGAATTTCCTGTGGTGCTAACGAGGAGAATTTGTTTGACGATCAAGAGCTTCTTTAGTTTGTGATCATTTCCTTTATTCTCCCGACCTTAATGCCTGATTTAGGGTTGATATTGTAAGGAGAAATTAGATGAGTCACTCTAGAGGGTCAACAGATTAAAAGCAATCAGAATAATAATATGACAGTGATAATGATATCGTAATGGTAATCATGAGTCAATTAACCACTTGCCCAGACAGTTTTTCCAGATTTGATGAAAACGAAGAATGAAGTGGATCTTTTAAACACAAAAAACTTAGCTCAAAATCCAAACAAACATGCTTGGTGTTTCTCGCATATTAATTGTAAAGACGAATTTTGGTTAAAAAACGCTTTCTTTGATACTCCAGCATAAACCGAGCAGTCACATAATAACTGACAACCCCGAATACGCATATTATTATTAGATCATTAGTAGCGTGCTCATTGGGATTAGTCCATGTGCACGTGCGTATGTTCGCTGCTTTACATATGTAGCCCGATAATTTATGCCCACATATTTTCAACAGTAATTCGTCACACTTACGCGCCAGCTTCAAAATCATTTACTCCAGGATTACCCAACTCAATTGACCCTGTGGTTTGCTTGTTCGTTCCGATGATCTCAACAAAGACTTTTGCATCTGTTCCAGCCAGGTAAACCGCGGCGGTGGTGACTTGGATTTTATATGCTGAAAACAACGATCGGATAGACTATCATAGCTGATGTGGCGAATGTTACAGTGAAACAATATTTACTACCCTAAGACTCCAGTTGAATTTTGTTCATAAGTGAGAGTGCGTTTATCATGACAAAAATAATTGACAACCATAAAATATATTGAAATTCATGACATGAATGAGTGAGTGAGCTGTTTTATATCCTCATTTAATTTGTCATACATATTGGAAAGATTGAAACTAAAAAAATGGAATAGAAACTGAAAAGCAAAGTATTAACACAATAGTTGCATACTTACTTGCACCGCGTATTGCCTGCAAGAAAGACAAGGAAATAAAAAGAACAAAGATTGTTTTCGGCATGGTAAGAAACTCTAGCTGATAACCGGCTGGCTTAGAAAACAATTTGTCGCGATATACTAAGGAACTTCCTGAGGAGTTTCCCAATTAAAGCAAGACCTCTAAAATTTCCAGCCTAAAATTTAAAAGATGATTTTTTTAAATGATTTATCAGCTGCTTGAAACAATACGACATACAAACACATAGCTACTAAAATGTTTAAACTTAGACAGCTGAAAACATATTTTATACTATTCTTTTATTCTAAAATTTAAACTTAGAACAAGATTCTCGTAATACAAACTTGACCTCATACAACTTTAAACAGTTTATTTTCATCACTTGACTTCTATCTCGTAATGACCAAGTCTTTAAGTCGTGGAAGACACAAAAGAACACTCAAGAAAGTGACCTCATTTTATCGTGAACAAGTGTTTACAAATCAGACTTAGTCAACTGCCTTAGATTGTGACGAGACAAAATGACTAGTTTTCATCAAACCAAATACATTATGAAAGGAAAAGAGTATTAACAAAATTGAACAATGGTTGTATGTTGATACTGTACAAATATTTGTTCTCTGTTTGATTCTTGATGATCATTTCAGAAGTTTTGGTCCAGAGTAATGATTATTGGAGAAATTGTCGTGGGGGGAGGGGAGGGGTAAGTAGTTGATAGTGGCTGCTAGTGTTAAATGGCTGATGTCAGCGGATATCAAATATTAGTACCCAGTCACCGAAAAAGACTCGAGGACGCGTTCTCTCGCCCATTCTTCCTGGACTTCGTGCGGACAATAAAGCAAGGGAGGAAAGCAAGGGACTGGGACAACGCAAGTAAGAATTTGCGGAACATTATCAAAATCACGTCACCTTCAAGTTAGGTTTTTATAATCTCGTAGTGGATACGGAAAATTTTTTTCCATTGTCGATAAATTAAGGTTTTAAAAAGAATCAAATTAAGAAAGAGGAATAAAAGCATGTGCCAAACATAAGTTTTCAAAAATGGTATTCTCATCTGTTGAAGCGGACGTGAATACTTCATGCAGCTAAATCAAAAAC